AAGTATAACAAATATTTAGAATAAAATTATGAAATTATTTATTATATAATTATTATAATCATACATTTTTAATTGTTAGACCTTGTACAAATTATTAACACCATAAAACTAAATTATTACAAATAAATAAATACATTAAAAAATAACTGCAAAAATACCCTAGTGAGCAACGCAAGCAGCTTCTCTGCTGGAAAAACAACAAAAGAGCTTTCTTTCGTTTTTTTCTTCTTGTGGTTTAAAATTGCTTGTACGTGTAAATTGGCAAATTAATCTGCGAATCACTTGCGTTCCGAACGGTAGGGTCTCATCCATACGTATTACGGATCAGCTGCGATCCGTTTAACTCCTAATATGTGACAGATCAGAGCAATCTTTCATTTACTTATTTAACATGAAATTGTCAAATTGCTACTCCATATCAATCGCATACAAAGAAAATACAAAATAATTAGAACAATCATTAACATAAATAAATAACAGAGTGTAATATCTATACACATTTTTCCCAGAACGTTCTTGCGACCCGATAGCAATTCTTCCACGGCCCGGTAGTGGGTCGCGACTCGGTGGTTGGGGACCTCTGTTCTAAAGACTAACTAATCCTAATTAAAATGTGACTGAGATTTGAGATGCTACTCATGCTCATTCAGCTTCTCAAATGCTCAAAGTTCATTCTAATAGAGAATGTTAATACATGCTGCAAATATAATGATATATGACTTTTTAATGAGACTCAGCTATTTTGGAACAGCCTTTGGAACAGGCTTCAAGAGGGGAGCATGCATGGCTAAACATGTAGCCTAGGTATATAGTTGGTTTCTAGATGGTCCAAGCTGGTCATCATCTTTGACCAGCAACAAACCAGTGACAGTACCAGCTGGTCATACCAGCTTAAAGTGGTCAGACTGTTTTTTGAAAGATGTTTGAAGATCAGTCAGCTAATGACCAGTTTTGACCAGCTAGAAACCACAGCGACCATATTTCAGAACACAGACACCATCTTAAGATGGATTTTCCGGCAAGAGCTTCGTTTCCATTTATGCTAAGCAATTGTGATGTGCACATTAAGGTAATAATCAGTGATGCTGCTTCTCTTCAGGGGTCTCCTTGGCCCATTTGCAGCTGTGGCTAAGGAACATGGGACTCAGCCAGATTTGTGTTCCGGAAGCCCATTAAAACACATTGAGACTAATGAGATGATGAACACCTGACACTGAAATTAATCACCTCCTCCCTCTGCTTCCAGGCCTTCCTTTCTACCTGCTAAATCACTTTCACAGAGACAAAAAATGTCATACCTCACTGTTGGCCATGTTGAGTTTGGCTGTGAGCTCCTCTCGAAGACTGTCCAGTTCCTCTCGTAAAAGGCTCTTCTGTTCCTCTAGAGAGCTACGTTCCTTCTCGAACTGTTCCTCCATTTCCTATAAATCCAACAGAAGATGCTGATTACAAATGATGACAGCTTACAAACATGAGAAACAATTGATGTTATTGGAAATAAGACAACCGTTTGTAGGGATTGCGTCAGTTGATTAATTCACATTTTTCACAAGTTATAGTTCATTTCAAATAGTCATTTGCTACTTATCCTCATGTCGATCCAAATCTATATGCGGAAAGAAACTCATTTGGGTTTGAAACATCATGAGGGAGAGTAAATAACGACAGAAGTTTCATTATTGGATGAACTATTCCTTTAATCATTTTAGAAATCTTTTTTAGGCTGTGGCATTTTGAAGGCATCACTATCTGGAAACTTAATTTCAAACATTAATTTCAAACATGTCAGGGTAGTGCCTTAGGAAATCCACTTAATATCTTCCAACTCCCTGGTCTTAATATCAGGGAGTTGGAAAAAACAAGATGACAAGATTTGCAATGCAAAAACAAGGCACGAGAGGAAATTATTAACTATATATTATTCATCATAAGATTCTTGAGCTTTATTGAGCTCACCTGGAATATAATAATACAGAAACTAATCAAAGCCATCCTGTGACATTTACAAAATGAAATGCCGTTTTTGATTGTGTCCTGCCCACCACACCAAAATAGGAATAAATTAATATTTCTCAAATATTCTGGCTATATAGCCTAACTCTACGAATTAAAATTATGTAATTAATTCAACCTGAACTGCTTATATTTACAGACTCTGTTTAAACTTTGTTTTGTAGATAATTTCAGTCTTAGTTTATTTTGGGCTTTTGTAACTTAGGATATGTAAGACTGCAGTTAGAATATCTCACATTGACTCAAACTGATAGAATGCTTCAGCTGTTATAGGTATTATAGGTAATATAGGTATTTTTCTTATTTCATATTCAAAAAAATAAATAAAATAAAATAAAACGGCAAAAAAGGTGAAAGGAATGTACATTACCATTCAAATATTTCTTATCATTAACAACGGTGACAAGAAGTTGAAAGGACCAGCTTAATATTTCAATGGAAACCGTGATTTTTTTTTTCTTTCTTTCTTAGGATTCTTTGAAGAATAGAAAGAATATTTATTTATTTTTCACAGTAAAAGTCTTCAC